CAAGCCGACCACGGCCCCATGGTATTTGAGCACCTGCAGTGCATGGATGCCTTGTTCGGCCCTGCCTAGTGTTGTGGTTCTGCATCCGTGCACTGCAGGTGCTCAAATACCGTGGAGCCGAGGTCTGCTTAAGGCGACTAGAAGCAAGGGCACGGGGCCTTACGCCGCTTCAATCCGGCATCGAAAACTGAAAAGGAATAAATATCTCAGCGGCGGTATCGATAACTAGCAGTATGCTAGTAAACCCAAAAGATTGGGTTCTATTTTTGTGTATTCATTGTACACTTGGTATTTTCATGCCAATATATAAATGAGCATTACTATTAATAGCCCAAAGCTAGTGTTTTCTTTGTTCTCTTAAACAAGGAAAATAGATCCATAACTGCCGTTCTATTTTAGCCCAAACGTTATGAGCAAACCAAAAAAATCCGAAGCAAATGGGGTTTGTCGTCTACTGCAGAAATTTGATTACATTGGGGTCGCATCTTTTTACGAATCTTCTTGAAAGCAAACTAGTGGAAGCACTTCATGCAGTTTATGAAATAAGCTGCAGTTACTGCGACAGAATTTATATCGGTACGTCATATAAACGGCTTAACATCATATGAAAGAACATCTCTCTGCAGTACGGAACTGCCATGCTGAATACTCGGGAATTGCATCCTATGCCACTGGCAAGCGATATGGCATCAGCGAAGCTAGTGCTTCAATTATTGACAGGAAAAACATTAAGTTAAAGCAATTAATGAGAGTTCGATATACATTGGTATGAAAACACCAAGTGCGCAATGCATACTCTTCATCCCTTGATAGAAGTCAAAGCTAGGGTGCAGTCAGTAATCCTTTAAGAAAAATGTGATTTCTCGATTCTTGACACAGAACTCTCATTCAGGATTATGTTAATAATACACTGTCTTGTGCTAAGATGTAAACTTGAGTTTTTCCTTCATTTATTTCCTCAGTCCTGATAACGTCATCCTGTTGGTATCGCAACGTTTCGACAGTGAATAAAATCTTTCCGTCCTTGTTTTACGTTTGGATTTCGCAATCATGCATCACGGAAACAGTCCGCTGATGAATTATGTGCCCAGAGTCAAAAACTCTTCCAGAAAGTTTCTCTGGATAAAGTTTGGAAGTCAGCGTGACCCAGCTAAAAAGTCTACCTGCCATTGGTTTAATTTGGTATAACCCACTGATCGATTACGTTCTCTCCAATTCGCAGGCACATACTTTTCTCTAATACGCTGACAGCTTAAATTGGATACAATCCTTCAAGCTCTTTGAAAGATTTAGTGAACACGAGCTGTCGAATCGTATTATTTGCATGTCAGCCAGTTATTCAAGAGACTTAATTAAGATTGATGTCCGCGTAGTTAACGCTGTCTTTCCAAGATATCAGTTCGAATGCAGGGTGGTTGATCCATGGCGATGTTCTCTCAAGTTTAAAATTAATAGTCTACAGACTCGATAGGAGCAATGAGTTTATTTCAAAGCGAAGGTTGACTATAAAATTCGATGTTGATGAACAAATAGTGCAGCATTTCCTGACGAATTCGACTATTTTATAGGCGCTTTCTGAAACGAGTCTGTAAATGCGCGTAATCTGTATCTTTTTATATTATTTACACGTCCCTTCGATTTCTTCAGAAATAAATTCAACTCAATAGCTGGCACGGTTGTACAGTTGTTGGCTTGTTATTGACAATTTCAA